ACTGACATGGGCTGCAAAGTTTCAGTGACTATAATAAGGATGGCCATAACTTTGCAAAGAAAAACAAAACTAATTGTGGCTTAAGATTTTTCCGACAATACGATACAATAACCTGCAGATGAGACAAGGTTTTGATTTATTTGTATTGCATGAAATACAATATCTTTAAATGAAAGTTGTTTTAGAAATAATGGTAAAGGTAATTTGTAGAAGTCAGAATACTTGCTATAATTTTTTAAATTGTATTTTTCAGGTGGAAAAGACCATGTGACTGCTGGGCACTGGATGATCAGTCTTGAGAGCCATGTTGTATGTGAGGGCATTCAACCAACCTTTGTGACAGGGCTTGCTGCACTGTTTTCAACGTACTACATCTTTAATCTACAATATCAAGAAGAGGCTGCATGTACACTTGAATTCATCTAGAGGTAAGGTTTGTGTCCGCCTGTCCGTCCGTCCCCTTTTCCCACCTAGCACACATTAAACCCTGACTCCTTACGCATCATATGCTAATCTGAAATTACTGCATTTTCAGGCGCTTTCTTGATATCAACCTGGACCAAGGCCAGCTGTAGCAAGATCATCTCCAAGAGGACAGGGAAAACTTTTCAAAAGAAGTCGGTCACTGTCATCCCCCGTGTTTCAACTCTGCTGAAAAACCTCATGGACTTTGAGTGGAATTTCATAGTGAGAACTTTCTAACAAAGCTATAGATATTGTTGCCCCTCCACGTAAAAAACAAACAAACAAAAAACTATACAGGCATGAAGGCAACTTATCCCTGAACAGGAGTGTTCTTGAGAGATTTTTTTGGTTTAAAGGTCAGCATAATCTTAAGACATCTCTTTTAATTAAGAGCATTTTTGTTTTTTGTTAAGGCTCCCACTTTCTGTTCTTCAGATGTAATTTTGACTGTACAGGCACCATGTTTAACTTATCTTGGCAGTGTGTTGTCTAATATTGTTTCATTGTTTTATATTTTGAAGTTGGAGCTCTGATTTTGCCCTAAAGGAAATTCAAGTCTAAATGTTTCATTTAAATTTTTATCAAACTAGAATTTTCTATTTTTTTCTATGCTTTAGATTGAAAGTTAAATCTTTCATTTGTTTTATGTTGCATCATATTGTTCCTCACTTCCACAAAAAGCAGTATTTTGTATTGAAAAAGTAGTGTGCTGAGTTGTACAATGCATTATTTCCATAATTTATTTCATACTTATTTTATTTCAGACTAATCAAAAGGCCACAATTCATGCTTTATTCAAAAACTCTTTAAATAAGTTAAGAAATTTATTTCACAAAATAGATGGTGATTTTTTACTGTTTTTCCAGAATATGACTTACTTTGGACAGTTTACCCTCAACATTCTTGTAGAAAAGGCTTAGGTTTAAGGCACACATACATTGTCGTTTCAAAACCTTCCTCTTTATCATGTGGCCCACTAAAGACTGTGTATGAGTCAATGTTTGAGTTGGTTCTTTTTTTTCCCCCAAATAAATGTTTGACATTTTCTAAGTGTTTTTTTTTTCATGTTTCTATTTTATATTGGAAATTTACAGTAGTAAGCTGTATGTGAATTCAACAAGATTGGTACCATAGAAAAACTGTAATATACTGGCAAAACAGCTGCCAGTAGTCTACTGTAAATGTGATAAAAACAGCAATGTGCTGTAATCAAAAGATTTCTTTTGTGACAGTAATATACTGTAAAGTTGATTACAGTAAGGATACTGTATAATTAACAGTAAAATGCTGGCAACCCTGCTGCCAGCATTTTACTGCAAAAATACAGGACAATTTGTTACAGTGTACCTTTTTGCTCCACATTAGTCACACATCAGATGAACAGCGACATATTTACAATATCTAGCGACTTTGCTTACGCTAATGGTGGTCTAAAAGCGAAACCAGTAAAAAAGTAACTGAAGTAATATGTCGGATCTCATCACTTTCTAAGTACAGAGAGTATCTGCTGGTTTGGTATCCACACTGTTATGGCCTGCAGCAGACCAATTGGTGCGTAACTTTACGCACAGAGAACATGGCGGAGCTCGCTGTCGATCGTTATAAAAACATTTTGTGTCAGAGTTTCATCGCTCATCTGGACGGTTTAGTGGACCAGAGGGGGAGGGGGGGGGTTCTCCCGCCGAGGGGAGTGAGTGCGGTATCGGGTCACGATCGGCGGTTCGCCGTTTTCTTATCCCTTCACTTCATTTGGTGAAATGTTACCTGATTTCAAACACGTTCTCACTACTAAATGTTCAGCTTAATGGCTACAAAATGGAAGTAAAATGATTGGTTTCTTTCACGCACAACGAAAAGTATCGAGTGCCAACTGTGCTCGAAACTGCACAGTTGTGTGCGCGTGTGTGTGGGTGTGCGTGTTTGTGTGGGGGATCAGTAACCATTGGTGTTTTACCATCACCACGTGGCATGAAATGCTGAGTTACATCATAGCGCAGAACAGGAGACACACCCAGCTGCGTAACTGCAGGGGTACTTTAAAAAAAACACAAGTAGGCCTACATGTTCAAATTGATGGTCAAAAGTCCCACAAACATGTTTCTAAATGTCATTCACAGTCTGAAGCAGATGAGCAGACAGTTTTGGCAACATAGGTGTGCAATGCTTTCCGTACTTTGCTTGCTTTGCAGTAATTTTAGTTGAAAGTAATTCATAGGATAAGGTTCCAGTCAACATCTAAATAAATAGACTCATGCTATAATGCTAACTACTGAATTGCAGGCATCATCCTAATATTAAGGTCTTCAACAGTGAAAATGCACAGAACTGGTTGGACGTGGCTTTTGGAAGGGTTTTAGATTTCTACTGCATGGCATTCCATCATAAATGACAATATATTTGACTGGTGGGATGGACTTTCGCTCTCCTTTGCCCATCCCACCAGTTAAGGGGCAAAAAAAGAAGATGAAAGACTGATTAAATCATGGGTGAGTTGAAATGATTATACCTTCATCCCAATATTTCACAATTGCATTGTGCATCTCTGGCGTTCTTTGATCCAAAGGGGGTCAAAATTGCAAATGCAGGCACAAACATATACATAAATCAGGACTAAAATGTGGTTACATTTCTTTTAGCCATTTGAAGATGAATCACTTACTTTCTGTACAACATTAAATAGCTTGTGGTACAATTGTGGTTGGTTGTACGACCCCATTTTTTTAGAATAACTACAGCTTGTGTTTGATTTCCTGGCACAGACTATGGGTCTCTCTTCTCCTTGGTAAAATCCAATACCAAGTTAAACAACATGCAACAATTCAGATTTTTCTAGATGCTTAAACGACATAATCATTTTAAGAAGAGACAAGTAAATGTATGCATGCTCTGTCGAAACTGTTGTAGGTTCTGTTTTTTCCTCTAACTCTTTCAGTGCCTTTTAACTGCTTCCATGCACATTCTGCAGCTTTTAAACTGCAGCCTGAAACTGATTAGATTACCATTTAGGGAGGAGGGAGGGGAGAATAAAAAGATCAACTCGAGCTACAATCTTTGCCTCGCTTGGTTTCATCCATAAGGTTTGCTAAATTTGGCCCCAGCGCTGGCCTGTGAATGCAACTCTGTATCTGTTCCATTTGTATGACATGTATGGCTTGTAAACATTTGATCTTTTTTTTTTTTTTTTGGCATTAAAGCTTGTTTATATATAACTAAATCTCATTATTTCTCAAGGTAAATCACACTTAGGGGTTCTGGTCGGGTTCTGAAACGAGTGATCGGATCTAGTGGAGCACAGAGACAAAATGAATGAACTCCAACAAAACAGTGCATCTGTAAGTATCGACCAATTTCAGAGGAGGATGTTCAGAGGAGAACATCTCCTCTAAGACTCAAAACCTGTTTTTCCAGTCATCAAAAAGCCAGCCTGTGATCATTGCAACCCTATTGTTGTGCACACATGTCCACCCTGAGCCGACCCTCCTGCAAAGGCTAGGCTCATAAGACATTGGACAAGAAAACCCCTCCCCACCAGAGATTATTTTGAAATGCTAATGTCCACTCTTCTCACTCAATTCACCAACTAACCGAATCATTACCATGTCAACATAGAAACTGGGGCAGATGGAAAACACCAGTTAGAAGGGAATGCTAACCCAATCCGAATCATCTTTGTGAATGGAGTTGTAGACGAAGAAGCAGGCCTGGACTTGCAAAAACAAGTCCAGGACTGCAGCTACAGATCAGTATCTGTCTCTCTTCACCCATCTTAGGCGTCCATCTCGAATTCAGTTTGAGGACAAAACCTGCAATTCGCTTGCCTTCATTTATAGTGCTTTCCAAAAGCATTCACGTCCATTTTTATATTTTGTCATATCCTAGCCAAGAGTATTTCATTGGGATTTAGATGATATACCAGCACTTATTGTGCCAACACAGCAATTTAAATGTATGTTTAGGGCCCATGTTCTGCTAAAAAGATGTCCCCCAGCCCAGGTTTCAAGTTTTTTGCTGCCTCCAAAAGGGCTTCTTCCAAGAGTTTCAGGTCAAATCATAATCGACCACCTCTGTTGAAGATGTATGATGCAGCCATCGCCATGTTTTATTGTAGGGACAATGTGTTGGCTTTATTGTCTGTATAGCATTTTACATGCTAGCAAAACAGTTTACTTATGGTCTCATAAAATAATAAAATAATAAAATCAGTTAAAATACACATGCATAAATAAATCAATATGATAAAAGTACATTTCTCAGGATATTTGTGCTTAAAAAGGTGGGGCCTTCTGGAAAATATTGCTAACTTTCAAACGACTGACACTTTATTCTGGATATTTTAACTGTTTGTGTTCAGAGAAGATGAAGAGAGAATTTAAAAACAAATAGGCTCAGTCACAAATAAAAAGGCTTGCCCTGCATTGGATGGGGACAAAGAAATGTGATTGGTTGGAAGAAAGGCGTAGCTATATCCACACCTCCCTATAAACAGCTGGGTGCGGCACTCCGAGTCCTTTTCCGATGTTTTAAGGCCTCTTGCTTTTTCTCGCGACGTTTTAGTCGCGACCCAAGATTTTCAAAAGGAAAAATGGCAGAATGGAAGACGCAGGTACCTTACAACTGCAGCCCGTCTTATCATAGCTACGCCTACAGTCTCGTGTACCAGTCCGTACCCGAGCAGAACCAAGAAAACCTGCCTGTTTGGGGCGAAAACGGAGCCCCGGACTACAGTGACGGAGCGCCGCAGAACATTTGTGACGCCGTCGCTCCTATGGCCACCTTGGACGGGAAAAAGACCTCGCCTTGCAGCCCCGAGACCTTGACGGAAAGTTGTTTCCAGGACACCGGAGTCGTGTACCTCGGTGGCACACAGGAGAACCACCTGGAGGCCTGCGGGGACGGAGGGGGTGAGGTGAAGCACACTCGGAGAGCCTCGATCTCCGACTCCGGAGTGCACACTTCACCTGGTAAATTGCACTTTTAACTGTACAGCAGATTTTAAACCTGTTTTTTTAGTGAGTCTGTCTTTAAGTCAGCTTTCAGTTCAACTACTTACGCTTTCTGCAACAAACGTGTACATTTCTTTCTCGAGTTTTAAGGATGAGGAGAAGTTTGTTCCCGTCTTGGGTTTTCAGTTCCACAAACATGGCGCCGCTTTGTGTGGAAGACTAAGTGGCGCCGCCTAGCGGCCGAGTCTGTTTGGCGCCTGAATTCAATAAATAAATTGACAATTTTAGATAAAAAATTTAAATGGCTCTAATTTTCCATGTATAGTTCAATGATTTAATAGTGATTAGTTTTTTTAAAAGGAAACAATGTGTAATGTATGTATTTTTCAAAATTCGTTTTATTATTCAACCTTACCAATTAGTCTGTGAGTGACTCTTAACATTGTTACAAGGATTACCATCTAGATGTTTATTTGGTGAGTAAAGTTCTTGGTGGACTAAACTATTAACTAAAAGGTATATTGACATTTATTTTAATTCTATTTCTTCTCATTTAGATTCTTGGAGCTCTCTCAGCAGCCGTGAAAGTAGTGTTCCTCAGGTGAACCCCACTGCCTCGGTTAAGAAGGAGGCAGAAGAGGAGCCCGTCATCAGGAACCTGGATGGCAATGAGGATGTCTCCAGCTCCTTGCCGGAAGACTCCTGCAACTTGGCCACACCTGGGAACGGGGATAACAACTCCTCGAACCCTGCACCCCTTCCTTCTCCAAAGAAGCCTTCCACCAATATTGTAGCTATTCCGAAAACGAAGGTGCGTTCAGCTTTTTCAGAGAGTCAGATGAATGCTCTTGTCCAGCGCTTCAGTGTTCAGCGATACCTCACTCCAGCCGAGATGAAGAACCTGGCAGAAATGACTGGACTGACCTATAAACAGGTGAAAATGATCAATGAATGATTGAGACAGTATGGTGTCCTTTTGCCCACTTTAAAATGGTTGTGATCTCGGTTTGCAGGTGAAGACCTGGTTTCAGAACCGCAGGATGAAGCTCAGGAGGCATCAGAAAGATGCCAGCTGGGTATCTGAGCGTTTTGCCATCCCGAAGGATCCTTCCTCTCACAGACCGGTCTTGTCCGACATGGCCTCACACATCCCACCTGTAAGTGACTTTGATGGTTTACAAGAAGAGTGTACTAGGAACTCTGTTTCTGTTAGGTGTCCAGAACGAGTTTTCTGTTAAGAGATGACAGAGGAATAGCGATCTGGACACAGAAAAACGCATCCATAATGGAGGCCTAACCACAGTTGTGGTCACGGCCTCAAAGGCGAGATGCAACACTATACCACCCAAATGTTTTTGGTACATGCCGGTTGTAAAGTCAGATAGTTAATTTGTCACTTGTTTTCTTTTTTTTGCAGTATCAAGGAGATGGCCAGCCCCAGTTCATGGAACATTACAGCCAGCACCCGATGGAGGCAGCTTTTAAGACCCCACCAAATCTGGCCTACTACCTTTCTGCTGTCGGCGGCTCAGGTGGACCTGCTGGTTATCCACCTTGGCCCACTAATGCGCCGCAGGCCACTGTGGCAAACCCGCCCCATAATGCTAGATGGTCTGTGCCACAAGGGGCTGCTGGGCCAATTGATTACAACCCCAACATGTTCAGCACAAATACTTACATGCAGGCTGCACACTTTGAAAACAAAGAGGGGGAGCCTGTAAACGACCCCCTAAACACCCCTGTAGATCACAGTGGAAACCAGTAGTTATGGAAGCCATTAGTGATGTCATTGAGATGGTGATTTTCAAAGTTTCTGACCTCATTTCCTAGTGAAATGTGATTTTAAGCAGACAGTATTGTTCTGTATCTGATTTCAATGTACCTTTTTTTTTTCCTCTTTACCTTTTATATGTAACCATTTTATGTGTGTTTTGAATGCTTTGTCACAGCAGATGCACCCAGTTTGGATGCACTTTTAAGCAAAAGGTTCACTGTGATGCTAAGTAACATACTTGACATACACAATTATGTAAATGCATTTTACAAGTTGTGTTTTGTTAATTTTTTACAGTTTAAATCCTTTTAGAAAGTGCTAGAGACAAATTGATTTTGATCATTAAAGATTTGAAAATTCTTTTTTTTTTCTTTTTCTTTTTTATATAGTCTGGATTTTGTAGTTCTAAGTGATGCATTTGTATGGAGTTTAAATTCACTCCAACTTCTTGAAGGAATTATGAAGCTAAAAGAAAGTCTCTGGCGGTTTCACTCATTTAAGAAAATCAAAGATTTGATTTGATATCTAAACATCTTTAAAGAAGCCATATTGCCCAGGGCTAATTTTAAGTGCGATTCCATTGACCATCTTTACAACTGGCAGTTGTAAGTTAATGTTGAAAACTTTTTTTCTCAACATTTTTTTTTTTTCCTTTTTACTATTCTTGCATATTATATAATCTGAGTGATATTGTAACTGTTATATGTATCTTCTTTACCTGCTTCCTTCACATTCTGCATTTTGGGAAAATACTCTGTCCAACAGGCTGTTGGACAAGCTAAGTATTACACCGGCTTGTAAAATGCAAGGGAATGAGAGGGAAGTAGCCTTTTTGACCTGACTATTCCACAGACGGATATTGCAATGATGTGGTGAAGCCTTACTATGCAACTTTTGGCTACATTTGCAAGGTTGAATTGTGCCATATTCAAGTCTGTATTGGAAAAGCAGAATAAAATGTTTTGAAACAACTTCAGATACCTTTTTTTTTTAAGTTAGATATTGAAATCTGTGAAACATGTTAAAATGGAAGAAATCTGTGACCTTAAAGAATTCACCAGACAAGTATAATCTACAAGAAAGCCACAGAAATCTTTGCTTACATTGTTGTATTAAAAAGCACTTTATTGAAAAAAGTATTTACATCAGAACCAAAGTTGATGGTGACCATACAATACAATTACAATATTGCTCCCCTTCACCAACAATTAGCAAAAACTCCTTAAATCTACAAGGCATAATTTCTTCCATCCACTGTCAGGATAAAAACAACTACAGACTTGGTGCAAAACATCTGAATAGACTTTTTTTTTTCCCTAATGGGTTTGGGAATATTCACTGCAAGTATCAGTTGCACTGCTGCATAATCAATTCTACATTATATTATTGATGTACTAGAACTTTTAATAGCCTGCAGATGCAGCAAATAAGATTTTGGTCAAAACCCATTGTTAATATGCCAGAAGGTCCAGCGTACTGCATCAGACATGTCGCATGTTGTATTCCTAATGCAAACTGAGAGCAATCTTCCCCTTAAAGTGAAATACCTTGCTTTCTTTCTAAAACCCACACTTCCACGTGTCCCTTCATCTGCCCACTGATGCACCAAGTTTCCCTTGTTCAGCTGAAAAACAAAAATGCTATTTGAGTTCATTACTAACCCTTCATGGGAAGTTCAAGGCCCCTATTTCTTCTCCCATTAATACAACAGGAGACATAGAGTCACAGAAAACGCACTGTCAATATGTTTGCTTAAAAGGTTCGTCTTGGGGCCGTCTCGAATTTAATCCATCTTCAGGCTGCGGTAGATGTAGCGAATGAACGCCAGAGAGGTCCAGAACGACACGCTGCCCAGCATCAGCGTGAACACCAGCGCCGTCAGCAGCGAGTATCCGAAGAACTCGGAGCTTTGAACCAGGCCGCTCATGGAGGAGCGGTTGCGGTAGTAGAAGACGGAGTAGACGAAGATGAAGAGGCCCGTGGATCCAGTGCTCAGCACGCTCCGCCACCACCACCTGTAGTCCTCTCCCGACAGCAGGAAGTAGGTCAGAGCGACGGAGATGCAGGCGCCCACCGAGAGCAAGATGGCGAAGACGCAGAGCAGGATGCCGTACAGGGTGTAATGTTCTCTGCCCCAAACGGTGGCGAAGATGTAGTAGAGTTCTACTGAGATGGCACTGAGGGGAGCAGTTTCAGAAAAATTATTAAACAATCTTTCAAAGTTCAAGCCTTTCTACATTTTGGTAAAACACGTGTGTTGCCTTCAAGGCTTCAATTTTTCACATTTCTTTTGCTACAGATGATCAAAAGTTCTCTAAAGGATTTTGGGCAGGAAAATAATATTTTTGAATTATTTGCATATTTTAATGCATTTCTAAATCTGGATATGAGCATAAATGCTTAAATAAAAATTCTGCACAATGCACTGCTTTTAATTCGATTAAACAATTACTCATCACAATCATTGATAGGAAAATCAATTAGCATAATAACTGTTAGCCACAGCCATACAAAGACGGTAGAAAACCATCATTATTTTTACCCTAATTCTTTGGCAAGATACTGTAAATGCAAATTCTAAGCAACCTATGAAAAATACATTTTTAATCCAATCTGAGGTAAAGCACTAAATTTTCAAATATCTAAAGCTGCACTTCTTGTCGCAAACCCAGAGCTCACCTGAAAGGCAGGAAGCCACCAATGGCCATGTGCACGATGGTGTGTTTGTACCAGGGCTGCGGCGGGATCTGCCGGGGTATGTTGCGGGTGCGGCACGGTGCCTGGAAGTTGCCAGCTCGGTTCTTCCCCACGATGCCGCCGATGACGGTGAGGGGGAAGCCCACCAGCACCCAGGCGCCCAGCAGCAGGAGCACGGTGGTGGCCGGCAGAGCCTGCGTGGAGCCGCTCCACCAGTGGACCGAGTTCACTACGCTCCAAGTGAAGAAGAGCGGAGCTGCGGGAATGCGTGACCAAGTCAATAAAATGCATCTACTGATTTCCGTTTCATGCAGCGGCGCCCCAGAGCGTCGTCAATAATTAAAAAGTCATTAATATGAGATTGAATGTCGCAGGCCGAGCATGCTGGTGGCATATTTCATTAACTTGAACAAAGTGATGCAAATTCTAATGCCACTGCTAATAACTTACAAGCAAATTAGATAAATGACTTTTACTCTTGATAATCTTCCTTTCTTGATTGCCATAAGTGTTAGATCTGCTTGTTCAATTAGATGGTAAACTGCAAACTGTAAAATCTGCTGACTGGATTAGACCTATTCAACCCTAACATTTGCAGCCTTTGCAAGAAAGTCGAATCGGGAAGGGAAAAAAAACATCAACTCTTCTGCAGCTGTCACTGTAAACCAGCTGAAGTCTGCTCATCCCAAACATGTGCAACAAAAAGGTAAAATGGCTCATAAACACCCCAGAGGGAATGTTTGCTTTACATCTGATATGCCTCACACTAATCTGATTGGTGGAAGAGTGAGTCAGTTACTGGTGTCACATTATATCAGAGTATTAAAAAGTGACAGTTTCTTATTACTAACATCTTATGAAGTCCAATGCCCTAGTATCAGTGCAGAAGAGTTTTATCACAGAGTACCACATGAGAGTTCCTCTCCTCAGCCATAAGCATGCAGTGCATGCTTTCCCCTTAAAAATAAAGTTTACAGTGCCAGCCTATAAACTACAACCGTGTAGTATTCAACACAAAAAGACTTTACTTTAAATAAAACAGTTAATTTTTTTTTTTAATTTAAGCCTGCCTGATATAATAAGCTATGTGTATAAAACTGGTCATGTACACTAAAATCTCTTGGCTAGTTAAACTCACATAGTAAATGATGTGAACCTGAGGTGCTGAGGCTCCTCACCTGAGAAAAGAGATGATGTGAGGATGATGTTCCACACCCAGCGCTGCCCGTTGATCTGCGTGTAGAAACTGCACGAGACGTAGCCGGACACGCAGCTGGTGAGCGCGTACAGCACGATGGCGGCCGAGTTGATGGCCCCGTGCCGGTGCACGTTGAACATTCCCAGCAACGCCATGACGATAATGGCTGAAATATAAAGAGAGCACAAAAGAGCTATTACGTCAGAGTTGGGTTATCTTTGCCACACATTCACTTCCTTTCTACAAACTGTTGTAGCAAGTGATTGGAGCTTCAATTTCATTTTCAAACTTGAACAGGGGTATTTTTCTTTTGAAGAGTCGTGATTGGTTGTTTATTCTACACGAGTCTGAAGGCTCACCTGTGGCCAGAGTTAAGAACTGAGCTCCAACTCCGAGAACAGCGCACAAAAGGCTTTTAAACGGCGGGAATCTGAAAACATCAGTGTGTATGATTTTCCAGCCGTTGTCTCCTTGATCCAAATCATCGCAGCCGCCCTCCTCTTCCACATTGTACCTGAAATAAAAGGGCATTTTCTAAACACAGAACATGCAAGTGTGTCTTCTGTGAGCTTCACAACTGCTTTCAAGTTTCTTCAAGACGAAGAAAGAGATGCACAGAAAACAGCTGAATAAATTTTACACTGTCCAAAGATGGTTTATACTTCAAATGGTGTTTTGTTCTTGATAAGAATCACATATTTCATCGGGAAGATTGTGGATCGATTTGTAAAATAAAATGAGTCCCGACAGGACAAAGCTGGTAAAACCCATTTCCTTGTTCTACGCTTAGCATCATACAGAGTGTCTGGACTCTTGAAAAAAGATTGTTTCCTTTCAGATTTTAGATTTTCCCCAATTTCTAACATTTGTTTGTGTTGTATGATGTATGCACTGTATCCCTTTATATGCAGTTGAACCCCCCCCCCCCAAAAAAAACCCCACACCATTTGTTGTGGAAATGTACTTCTTATGCACCCAGATCTCTTTTCAGAGCACTAAAAACACCAAACATGGAGCAGAAAATAAAGTGAATGCTTACAATAATCCAATTTTTCCTTGATGTGCAAAACCTCAATGCTAAACTCCCCAGAAACAGTAAAACCAAAATCATCTGCATCAGGTTTTTAACAAAACTGTGAATGACTGAGGTGCTTTTTGCTGACTTACCTGGCAAAGTCATTTTTAAGGACCCGCATCAGGATGATAATGACGAAGCCCAGCAGCAGCACCACCAGCACCAGCGAGTTGATGATAGACAACCAGTGGATCTCCAGCGTTTTCGGGAAGAACGAGTAATCTCTAAGGCGCTCGGCTCTCCGAGCAGAAGGCAGGTTGGACTCGAACCAGCGGACGCTGTAGGTGTGCGTGACCGTCAGACTGCCTCCGCCCACACCCACCCCGCCCACCGCTGCTCCCGCCCCCTCCTCCAAGGGAAAGGGCTTGACGTCCTTCACTGAGACATTGGCAAAGATCACGGAGTCGCCGTTGTACTCGATGTTGAAGTCTAGGTGAGTCCACAAGCCCACCTGACGGAGGACAAGGGAACAAAAGGAGATGAAAGGTAAAGAGGCAGACAAACGGCACAAACAGTCACTAAAAACCAAATCTACGCTTTCTCTTCACCTTGTGGCTGTGAGGCAGGAAGCCGCTCTCTTCAATGTATCCCACAAAGCCCCAGATGGGAATATCATCCAGGACAAATTCAAAGTAGTACAGCTCCTCGATGGCTTCACGAAGCTCGTCCACCTGAGGCACACAAAACAGAACAGGTTTTTAGAAGCAAAAAGCGCTTTCCTTTAAAATTAGTCATTTCAAGTATTACCTGTTTTTCCGACAGCGTGAGCTTGCAGAGAGTTTTTCTCTCCACGTTCTCTTGGAAACGGATGAAATACAAAGACTCAGCCATTCGGTCACCGTCCAGCACTTCGCCCAGACTCAGGGACTTGTGGTGCACCTGAAGAAGAAGAGGCTTTATGATGAGATGTACACAAGCAAAAAGCCAATGTGGGCAGTGAATGAGAGCAATGAGCTCAAAACAGAACATACAGTTTCTTATTGACCCTCCTTTGGAGCTGTAAGACTTTTTAAGAAAACCTACAATAAGTGGACAAACGTAATCTTTTCTTATTATCTACTCAGAACACAGGACACATTATAGGATATAAATATTTTTTTAACAACTTGAGTTAGTATCTTACATGGAAGCTTTGAAAGATACATTTTAATCAATTCTATCAGGGTTTCAAAAACTCAAATGTAAGACTTTTTGTCAGACCATTACAAATTAAATTTAAGGCTGATATATGCATGAACTTAATCCAGCCGCCTGGTGATAAATCTAAACGTGCCCATGACAGATGCAAAGCTCGTTAGCCAGGGTATGTTAGCAGTGAGTTACTGGTAGCCTCACTCGTCTAGAGTCACAAATAATGTAGATGTCTGAGTGACTCAAATATTTGCCTGAAAAAAAAAAAAATCGTAAAATAGACAAGACAAAATTTAAGATTTGTGATAAATGTATTTAAGGATAACTTACTTTTTAAAAACAAATTCAAGGCAACTTTAGAGACATGTACTCAGGACTTTTAAAACTTTTAAAGTATGTGTGGACACCATGTTTATAGCAAACCGAGCTATAAACAGGGACAAAAAGAATGTTTTTTTTATAATCATGCTGTCCCGATGGAAATGTAACATCTTACAAATTAATAAATATATCAGTCAAAAACTGACGTAATTATTTCTGTATTATTTCTACAGTGAGGACACAGCAGTGAGGACTGACCTTATCTGGTCTGCAAACAGGCAGAGTGTAGTAGTGATACGTCTCCTGAGGATTATGGTAAGGGCCCACTTTGTTGACGTAAAGAGTCACATTGTCTCCCTTCTTGTAGCTCGCTGCCCAGCCTGAGAACAAGCCCAGGATCAAGAAGCAGAGCACTGCCATCGTCCTCCTGTAGCCACCAGGGAGCTATCCAGTTCCACCACGTGCAACACCTGCAGCAGAGACAAACAGTTTATCTTTTTGTGTTGAAAATCTCTCCCTTCTCACACACCATTCCTATCGTTATGCCAGCCTTTTCACTCATTTGGGGCTTTAACATCGGTTAAGACAATAAACAATAAACAGAGCAGGAAACTTTGGAAATGACTTTTTTACAGTTCACAGGGCCTGCTTTATTGAGAGATGCTGCTCTGGTTGTGCGTGTGTGCGTGCGTGCGTGTGTTGTGGTAGCAGTCTCATCAGATCCACTGGGCAAAACACAGATTCAGTTTCATACAGCCTTAAAAAACACGTCTTCTGGATGAAAGTCTGGACTTTATATATACCAGCAGTGGAATTTTAAGTGGAAGACCTCATATTAAGGTAAAGGCAATGCTTTTCAACTATTATATTCAAAATGCATGAATTAAATCTGCATTACAATGTCATTCTTTGTACAATAAACTGTGTGCACGTTTACTCTGACTTACGAGTGCAAAAGAAAAGCTCGTAACTAGCTTGTTAGGTTGGCTGTGGAAAAAGGAAATGAAGGATAATTATTGCCGCTATATCATTTTATGACTTGAAAAAGCACTATGTGAAGTGTTTCCTCTTTGGACTTATTGGCAAAGCAGAATTTTATGACAGTGACTTCTGTCTCAGTCTATTTAAGATCTTTAAAAGAATTTGAGAGCATTATTATTATTATTATTATTATTATTATTATTATTATTATATTTTATCAACTTAATATAAACCCAATTTTCCAAGTACCAACATTTTAAAAAACTACTGCACAAGTCCTGGACTCTTTACAGCCTGTTTGTGATGTTATTAAAAAAAAACACAGCAAATATGACATAAAAATAACATTTTTAACAAACAAGAGTGACATCCCTAGGTTCCTTTTTCACTCAAAAGAAGACATTTTCAAATTTGTATATAAGAATTTTCATAAAAAGGTGCTGAAGTTAGAAATTTGACTGGGAAAGGAAAAGCTTGCTTGGCAAATCCTGATTTCAAGTTTAAACATGGATGCCCTGTGTATGAAAGTGACAGGTGCAATGAAAGTGAAAATTCACATCTGATGATTTGCATCTCCAAAATTCTGTTTGCATATCCAAAATTCTGTTTGCATACACTCCTAACTTTAGATCTCAACTTTAGAGATCATGTTGTAAAAACTAAATGCAGACAAATACACTGATATTGGATTATATTGTGAATAATACATAAGCTGGTCCTTAAGCATTTTATCAAAGAGGTCTTCCACCAAACTGGCTTGGTTTTCATGGCATTTCCACACGAGTCTCAGCTGTTTGTTCAGGTTGATTGCAACACAAGCTGTGCAGGTTTCAAGCTGATCATCTGACTGTGGAATTGTGACAACTTTACATGCAGATTCTTAGATTTCTTCTCGTTTGAGCCAATTTGACAATGACAACCTCCAAGCTGTGATTGACACGGTGGTGGAAGCGAAAGCAAAAGCTGACACTGACAGTGCGAATCTATTTCTACTACATGTTGGAATTTTCTCTTTGACTGGATTCTTGACAAATTTTGGTCAACACAGGATTTTAGCTGGTAACTTCTTTAATAATAAGGTTAGCAACCAGTTCAGCAACATGCTATCAGAAACAAACACTACCATTTTTAGCACTACAATGACAGGTGCATACATGGCGGGCCCAACAGCTAGGATGAGTTAATCATAAATCTGACTGCCCTTGTAATCATTGTCTAGGAAATCAGCGAGTGATGCTGTACTTCTTCATGGGTTTTCTTTTTCAAAGAGAAAATTATCTCTTTGAAGGGGGAAAACATGCAAATGAAGATAAAAACCTCCCAAATATCAATGAAAAAGAACCAGTCAGTCAGTGGGTGCCTCATGTGACGTCACTGGAGGAATGTGTAAGTGGAATCATGTCTTTGCAAAGTTAGGTTGTTATGTTGATTAAACATAAAATGACAGGAAAAAAAGTAGGTTAGAATAATACAACAACGTGTTCTGTCGGTGAAAAACTATAACTAAAGTGGGTTTGGTCGACTTCACAGAAAATTTGCTCAGTAGCTTTAAAGAAACTTCACCTCGATGAGTTTTCCCCCCTTTCCATTTACCTGGACGTTTTAAAAAGCAGACATGATTCACACTGATTGAAAATGTCTCAGTGAAGTTGCTCAACTGTGACCTGCGAGACTCACCGCCCTGACACCTCCGTCCCGATGCTGCAGAACCCACTGAACCAGTCTGGTCGCCGGATTCCTCGGACTCCAGGCCCCGACGGTCCGCTCGGCTCCGATAGCGCTCACCGAGAAGCCCGAACGCTGCAGCCGAACACCGGGGACATCCTGGAAGAGGTGCGCTAAAAACGATCCCCTCCGCTTGTCTCTGTACACTCAGTACTTCTACTGACAGAAGTAGGAGACGAAAACGGGCTCCGACTACACGTCACCTGAAGAAATAAAAATAATGACGACTCGCTTCAGTTTTCCGGGAAGGGCGGAGAAACGCGAAGTGGACGCCTGTAATGTTGTCGTTATTTTAGCAGCTATAATGGTTTTTCTTCTCTTAAATCATTATCACTTTTGTTCTCCACATGAAAAAACAGCAACAGTGGCATTAAAGCGTTTGGAGCTGATAGCACAACGTATTCACTGTCTTCTGTATGGACCGGATTTCCTTCAGCCCTCAATGAACCAATCCGATGTCTCTCTTGGACTTCCGTGTCGAAGCTCAGACCAGTATAATCGCACCAGCGCTAACGATGCGCACGTCTGTGTGAGTCCGTGACGTTGATATGCTCGACGTTCTGACTAGTAATGCCTCCCTATTCATTTCCCGCGAAACTGTCACGGTTTCTGGCGCTCGAGACGTTGTAGCAACTAGGCTAACAGGTGAGGCTGAGTAAACAACTAAAACAATTGACCTTTCCAACAAAATACAACCTCAGAACGGCATGTAGACGTTCACTATAATTATTACAGGTCACATTGAAGCGCTTTAATTAACAGAAGCTTCTCTCGCACCAACATTAATCTTCGCACTATGTTAGCAAAGTAAAACATCAACTTTAAGGTGGTTAGCAGTAACTTAAAGTGTGCTAACTTGTCCCACATATTTATGTGCCTTCTGTGTTATAAAGACTTGTCCTTTCACTCGTCGTGGACCCCCTCGCTGCAGAGTGTTGACTTGTAATTGTAAGCACACTTTCCTCTGTTGTCGCTGAGTATTTCTAACAGCGTTCACATTATTTTTCAGGTAGCATCATCACAATGGGAATTCATGGACTGGCTAAGCTGATAGCTGATCATGCCCCCGGTGCCATCAAAGAGCAGGACATCAAAAACTACTTCGGTAATTCTAACATATTATTTTTTTCTACATTTAAATCACTAAGGTCACAAGAAACACAAATACATGTTTAGTCAGTCGTGCTATTATTATTTTGTTTTTTACAGTGACATTAAATATAAAATAATCTTAATGTTTCAATTGCTTTTTGTAGGCAGAAAAATTGCTATCGATGCCTCCATGTGCATCTACCAGTTCCTGATTGCTGTCCGACAGGAAGGGAACGTTCTGCAGAGTGAAGACGGAGAGACTACAAGGTTCAGCATAACTGATTTGATTTCTAACCATATTTGCAGTATGCATTGGATACACTAGTATTTTTTATTCAAAGAGCAGCGGCCTACCCTCACTGCATGAAGTAAAGAGGTTTGTGACTTTCCCTTTTTCTAGCCACTTGATGGGAATGTTCTACCGCACAATCCGCATGTTGGAGAACGGGATCAAGCCGGTGTATGTGTTTGATGGGAAACCTCCACAGCTCAAGTCAGCTGAGGTTTGTATGGACTCTGTCGGGCACCGGCCGATAAGAGGTCACAGAGTGCATCAGCTGAGTTTGAACCATGAGTTTTTAAAACTATGGTATAACTTTGTGCAAATGACAGTCCAATGCTTAGACTTAGTATTTATATCGTCTTAATTTTATATCAATGTTTTCTTTGTTTAGCTGGAGAAGAGAGGAGAGAGGAGAGCAGAAGCTGAGAAAATGCTTGCCAAAGCTCAGGAATTGGGTAATTTAAAAAAAAAATTGTTATTTTAGAAACAAAACTTTGCATCCTTTCTTTTCCCCTCACTAATGTAAAAATTAAAAGAATACTGGATATGAGTCCTGTTTTTTCCCCCCATGCTTATTATTATTTTTTAATTTTCTCAAACCAGGTGAACAAGAGAATATCGACAAGTTCTCCAAGCGACTCGTGAAAGTCACCAAGCAGCATAACGACGATTGCAAGAAGCTACTGACCTTGATGGGCGTGCCTTTTATCGAGGTACCATTAAAAGCTGCTTTACTTCTCTACTTCTGACCTTACTTTTAAAAATAGAAAAGAATTGGAAGATTTTTGTATATCTTGGCTCTACGGTGAATTTGCAGATTTACAGTATTTGAATGCATTTCTCAAAATCAGTTTCTACTGGAGAAATAAATAATTCTGCATAAATAAATGTGCTATGTGATTATTTTTGTTTGTTTGTTTGTCTTTTAGGCTCCGTGTGAGGCTGAAGCCAGCTGTGCTGCTCTGGTTAAAGAAGGGAAGGTCTTTGCTACAGCAACGGAGGATATGGACGGACTGACCTTTGGGACGAATGTCCTGCTAAGACACCTCACTGCCAGTGAAGCAAAGTACACACCTTTATTTATTTCTGTCCCTTAATAATTTTATAAAGACAAAAATGAGCTTTCTGTTTATGTTGAGTGCTTATATATTTAATTTTTAAATGCCTTTTTTTGCTGCAGGAAACTTCCTGTTCAGGAATTTCACTTTAATCGCATCCTGCAGGACATCGGTCTGACCAGTGAGCAGGTGGGTTGTTACTGTTCCCTACATCTGACTGCAAAATGCAAAATGCTTATTGTCTGTGCAGCACAGAACTCAACTATCAGTCTTTACTTCTCCCAGTTCATAGACCTTTGTATTCTGCTGGGTTGTGACTACTGCGGCACCATCAAGGGGATTGGTCCCAAGCGAGCCATCGACCTGATCCGGCAACATGGCTCAATAGAGGAAATCCTGGAGAACATTGACACAAATGTGAGTTAAATCATTTTTTTCTCTTACTGAGATCCTTTTTGTGTTACGTGTGGAACAAGTGGAAGCAAGCAAAAATTTGCGACCAGAAAGTGTGAGATACACCTGCACATTTTTAGAAGTGATGCATGCTAAGTTACAATAAAATACAATGTTTTCTATTGTATTTTTTTAAACATCAACAAGGATGCATAAAGATTACAAAAAAAAAAATGGGACAAAATGTGTCTTGCTGAACTCTTGTAAAACTCAGAATGGAGATTAGTCTGCAAGTACTGAACAGATGCTTTCCACAATTTCTTCATGTTTCATTTTACTTTTGAAAATATCTGTTTAAAAGAACTTTTATAGAAACATGTTTACTTGATTTCTCACTACACATTTATCTAACCATTCACAAAGTCAGTTGAGTCGGTGGAAACATTTATGTAGTCAAATATTTCAAAAATTGATGCATTTTGAATAATGTCTGGACTTTTAGCTCCCTCATCTTTCGGCTTCATATGTTTTGGGTCACCCCATCCATCTTTTTACGAGACAATAAATAAATTGATTGCGGTCAAACCAGGCAGTGGATGTGATTTTATGTTTTCGTCTGCATTTTGTTCACCTTTTTGCAGAAGCATCCGGCCCCAGAGAACTGGCTGTACAAAGAAGCGAGGAATTTGTTTTTGAAGCCAGAGGTGGTGGATTCCTCCACAGTGGACCTGAAGTGGAGGGAGCCTGATGAGGAGGCTCTGATCCAATTCATGTGCAGTGAGAAACAATTCAGGTGAGCTGAATGCAGACTTTTTTTTATTATTATTTTATTTTTTGTTTGCCTTTCTCATATGACGCTGGAGTGATTGGCTATTGTGCTGTTTGCTAGATTAACTGCTTTTACATCATTAATCCACTAGTCTCCGCTGTTGTCCGTTTTAAATCCAGTTGCTTTACATTCCTTTTAGCCATTTTTGAAGGATAATGCCCACTTGTCACTCAAGCCAGTTAAAGTGGTCTTATTTCTCCCCGATTACCTGCATACGGCAGTATTAATCTTACGTTTTGAGTGATTTTCGTGTGTTTTCAGCGAGGACAGGATCCGTAACGGCTGTAAAAAGATAATGAAGAGCAGACAAGGTAGCACACAGGGGAGACTGGACTCTTTCTTTTCCGTCACTGGTTCACTCTCCTCAAAAAGGAAGGTATGCAGACTTCAGCGGCCCGCTAACCCAATGGTTATTTTTAAATGGGCATTATTTGTGGTTCCTCATGTTTACATTTTGTTTTTGGAGACTCCGTTACATACTAATGAACTTGAAAAATATTAACCATTTCTTGTTTTATTTCTGTTTTGTTAGGAACCGGAGACCAAAGGCTCAACAAAGAAAAAACTGAAAACTGGAGCAACTCCAGGCAAATTTAAGAAGGGCAAATAGACTGAACTGATCTCTGTTGATGTTACTGCTCTGTATACAGCATATTAGATAAGAACTATTCATGTTTTCATGAGGAAAATGCTGCACAGAAGGAGATTTAGTTAAATCATTATTTCATATCAATATTTTTTGTTTATGACCAACCATCATCCAAGCTGGCTGCCTTTTAAGGTGTTGAATGGGTTTAGTGACATGCTTGAAATAAAAATCTTACATTGTAGTGAAACCTGTCGCCTGACTTGATTCGTTTTTATTAACACTTAAAATATCGGCTGATGGTTTGGAAGCTCACCATGGACTAATTTCCTAAAAATAATTGGAAGTGAAAATGACTGATTCATCCTCATCATATTTTTTGCGTCATTTGCAGAAGTAGTCGAGGGAAATGACTGGGCAGGAAGCCCTCAGTTCACATGGACTGGCATAAATATTATTTATTTGAACTGAAAATGTTTCCTCCCCTGATGTTTTTATTGGTTACTTTTGGATTGAGTACAAAAAAGGTTAAAAAGAAAATAAAATTCCACAGTCCAGGAAATTGGAGAATGGAACAAGACTGAGCAGAAGTATATTTGAGACAAGACAAATATTTTGAAAATACGACCAGCTCTGAGAACCATAATGCAACTTGTTACCTTCAGAAATCAATCACTTTGTACATTTTGCCTGCAATTTAATTTTCCTAGAGAAATCCGACTGTTCTGTGAAGGCCTCTGTCTGTTGTATCCCGACCTTTGACCTTCTTATTCAGCGTCATTCGATGACCTGGTAGCTTCAAGCTAACCAAAGCAGCCCATGGTAACTTGAGGAGCTGCAGAGAGCCAGAGCTCAGAAGCAACATTCTGCTGAAACGACCACTATTAGTATTAGCACATCAACGGAAGCGTGGCGAGCACCACCAGAAGAAAAGTGGAGATGCACGTAGAAAAAGATGCTCTGGTGAGATGAAGCCAGAATTGGTATATAACAAATTCCTCTGTCATGTTTCCATCAAGAAACTAACAAGATAAAAGGGGAAGGATATAAATAAGATCTGTGGATGGAGAAACAGATGATTGGATTGGATCGTTATCTGCAGAACATTTCACTGAAACATGAATCTGAATTAGAGGAATTACACTGAATACTTTGGCCGTTTATTGGAAAATAAGTCTGAAAGGG